TCTCGAAAACTCTCGCTCCGAACGCCGCTGATTGGCTCAGCCGCCCCATGACTAGATCGCATCGCAAAAAAAGCCGGGTCTGCAAGCGACTGCTCAAATCGCGTCGCTTTTTTCCCGCGATGGTCGCTTTTGTGATGAAAGTTATCGCGCGACTAGGTCGCGTCGCCGGTGTGAACGCGCCTTTACCCAGGTGCCGAGCCACCGACGTGGGCGTTGACGAGCCTCCGTAAATGCCAATGCTGGGGAGAAGGACATGGTGGAATCTAAAATGGCAATAGTCTGGCCTGCTGTGGTAAACATGAAGTGAAGTAAACGTAATAAGAGGAAACAAAAAACTGAAGGTCGGTGATGGCGGCGCCCATGCACAGATGCTGCAGAGCGTCATGTGGCATCTTTTTATATGCATTATTTTTTTTTAAAGATAAATTGGCAACAGCAGCGCAGATGGGGCCTGCGTGGAGGCTGAGCCGTGTCGACATCAGAGGGTTTCATAAGACCTTTTTTGCGTTCCGATAACGATACCCGCTACTCCTCTGGAGGCTTTGCTTATGCATCGTACGGTTATCGGGTACCGTTATCGGAACGCGAGAGGCGTCCGCAAAGGAACAACTCCCCATACACAAATTCCAGCTAATAAAACGAGGTACCGCTTCTCTGTACTACATCGTTTCGTCGCGATGCCGGCGGAAACGCGTCATTTACGCAGTAATTCGACAATAGTTCTGGGTGAATTGGTCGTTCGATGCGCAACTCTGCGCCATACCATAGGCCCGTTCAACCTACAGGACGCCAACGACGACGGGCGCGAAAGTCTCCCCAAGGCCGGCTCGCTCGGTTGCATAAAAGGTTCAACCGCTTCCCCAGATGAGGGCCTGCTGCACAGCGTTTGGCAGGCCCACCGCCCCCCTCTTTGTTTTTGTGCCTCTTGGTCCCCGCCGCTCTCGCTCGTTCTCGGAGCCGGCGGGGTTCAGTGTTCTCTTTCTTTTACGGCCAGACAAGGGCGTTTGTCTCTTCAGTGCCTCCGTGGAGCGCCCCCCTTTGTTCTCGCCTCGTTCGCCTGGCTTTCACCAGGCCGCTCTGATGTCGCCTTTCATGGGCGGCCTCTTGAGCCAACGGGGTCCGAGCGAGTGTGGAGAATGGCCCGTCTCGCCGGACCGACATGGCGTTCGTCGTGTTTCTGCGCGTGTTCGATCATTACTGAATCAGCTGTCTACAAGGGAAGGTCCAGTGACTTGCGATTTTCACGCTGCTTGACGGGCAGGAAAAGTGCAAGATTGCGCCGCAGTCACTACGGTCATAACCTCCTCTATACTCACAAAGCCTGGCAGTTCGACGACGGAGCCATAGAGCGTCCGGTCGGAGATTTAGAGCGCGAGGATCTGGTAGCACAAAGCATCAAAGAGCCATTTCTGGGGAACCTTGACGTCAGCGCTCAGCTTTTGCAGCGGCGAGGACCCGAAACACACTTGTTCGCTCGTGGCCACCGAGATCCCGAAGCGCGCCATGGTTCACTCGGGAGAAGTGTGTTTCGGCGTCTCTCCGTAGCGGGGCGCCAGTCACTTGGCTCTCCTCTCATCCGTTGTCTGCCGCTCCATTTTTTTTTTTTTCCATTTCGGCGGCCGCTTCTCGTGGCGATCTGCCAGGCTTTGTCAGTATTTATAGCAGGCTATACCACGGTGCATTATTGGTTTAGCTGGTGACGAAAAACTCCCCAAAAGACGACTAGCGCCGTGACGATGCAGTTTTGGCGCTCTTTTTCTAAGTAGTACACGTGTCGCTCGCGCGCGCACCATTCCACTTTGAAGGTGGGCTTTTCCCCTAAGTACACGGCTGCGCTGCGGCGAAGCACGTTTCGCAGGATCGTGGTGTCAGCCCTGCGGTTATTATACTCCTCCGCCATCACACCGGTGCTCGGTGAGAAGTGCGCTCGACGGGGTGAATTAAACCGCCGCGACCGTGACTTTGGCCGCATTTCGAAAAAAGGTAGAAATCTCGAAGTTAATCCGAAGTCCCTATTGGATTACGTATTTCATGAACTTACTATTCGAATATTCGCGCTGGAAGTTGTGTAACATGCAGCCACATTAAAGCGAATCACGCGTGCCAGATCTCCTTCGTTTGTTTGGCACGTAAAGCGTGATAGCAGACTTGCACGCATTACTGAAGAAAAAAAAGAAAAGAAAAAGTCAGGAATTACATTTACAATTAATAACCCAAGGCAATATGTAACTAATTACTGTTGCAATTACTCTTCCATGAAAGTAAGTGAG